ACATATGATTTGCCATTCCTGGTAATTAATGATGCTGGAACATATTTTCACATATCTATTATATATACATATTTTTTTTTGAAGAAAGTCCACTCAGTGTTTTTTTTTCAAATTTGGTTATTATTTATTCTGCTAATAAGTTATAAAACTTCCTTTCCCATTTTTGTAATCCGTACCCTATTTGACAAATGGTTGTTAACTATTTTCTCCCTCTCCTTAGGGAGAATTCGGTTATTTTACTTTGTAGTGCAGAATGTCTTTTTTTTTTTTTTTTTTTTGTGACAGCATATAGTTTATATATTTTTGCTTTTGGACTCTTGTTCAAAATATAATTGCCCAGGCCAATGGTATGATGGTAAGAACTTTTTCTGTTTTTTTTTTTTTTTTTTTTTCCCAAAAAGTTTAGCAGTTTCAGGTCTTAGCTTTGTCTTTAACCCATTTTGCAATGAATTTATGAGTAGCACAAAACAAGGGTTTGATATAATTCTCTGTATGTATCCAGTTCTCCTGACCCCTCTGAAGAGACTGTTCTTTCCCCTTTGCAGATGCTTAGCAGCCTTGGTCACGTGACACTGTTGGCCTGTAATTATTTCGTGCTTTCTGATCTGTGCCCTTACTCTATACATCTGTCCAGATTTCACTAGTCTTTAACTACTACTATGCTACTCCGTATCTATTTCCTAGGACCTCCAATGATTACCAAGACCTTATCCTGTTATGTTTGATGATGACTTTTATCACTGGGATACAATTACATTTCAAATTGTTACTGTGAGAAGTAACTCAAGTTGCCAATGTTATTGTGTATTTAATGCTTAATTTTCTGAACATAAGCTTAATTTGTGGTCATCTCCAAAAGGTAGAAAATAAGTTATCTGATTTGATCTCAATTTGCTTACCACCACATTGTACAGAGGAGGCGGCTGCATGCGTTGCCAGGGGTTTTAGCTTCGTTAAGTCTCCTTCAGGCAGAGGTCCAGCCTCTGAGAATTAGGGGTGACCCAGGTCCCATGTGGATGATACTTAAAACTCAAAGCTACCTTTCCTCTTGTGCATGTGTATGATTCTGTATGGACATGTGTGTGTGTGTGTGTGCGTATATATAGACATATGTACAATTTAAAGAAATGCTCCCACACACAAATATATATAGAAGTAATTATCCTATATATAGTATATATATATATATATATATATATATGTAATTATTCTTTATATAGAATATATATAGAAGTAATGATTGCATCAATGTTTTTGAAGAAAAAGAAAGTTCCTTTTTCCACTTATTCTGAAACTCTGGTTTATCACCAGACAGAAAGTTGCAACCTTACTAACACTTTCTTGGATGTACTTTTCCTCAGATTATTTCTTCTGCGTTGGCAAAGCAGCTCCTTATGCCAAGTGATGTTCCGAATGATCAGGGGGGTTTTCTGTTCAGTACCTCGCTCCCAGACCACACGCTACGGACTACATCTAGTGTGTGGAGCAAAGGATGTCTCTATTCGCCTTTGTCTTTAAGAACGTGAGTCATTGTCTCTCTCCTTGCCTATTTCCTCCATGGAGAATTTACTGGCCCAAATTTTTAAAAAAGCTCCTACCACACTCCCATTTGCTGTAAGTGCAATTAGTTGCAGGTACAAAATTTGGAGCAAAGCAGTCTCCCGTGGCCTCTTGTGCCTGCGGTTATCCAACTGTGGCTCCAGTTTTTCAGTGCACAACTGATTGCACCCACAAAAAGCAAGGATAAACTTTGAAAATGGTTCCCTTTAAGACAGTTGGGGGATTGTGTGCTTCCGCTTGGCAAATTCCAATCTATTAGAGAGGCGCAGCCATCACTCCGGCTGGCACTGCAAAGCTGAAATCCAGGTTAGGCACCTCGGGTGAGCTGCAGGCTTGGCTCTAGCACAAGGTGTCTGCTCCAATGCCCCCTTGACCTCCCCTGGCTTCACCTTGAGTGCCTGGTGGATGCCGCCTTAGTACTTAGCATTCCTGACTCCATCTCCTGCTTAGTTCACCAGTCACTTTCCCAAAGGGTTTGATGAAAGAAGGTTGGTCATACTGTCAATAAAACACATTTAACCAACTCTAAATTTGCTTTAAAGAGACAGCTGCAAAGATTGACTTTTGCAAAGTGACTCACCCCACCACGCGGGGAAGATGTCGGTCGGCTTCTGAATGTTATTAACTGTGCCACTGAGTCCATAAGAAAGGGTTTTGAAGGAATTCCAGTGTGAATCCACTAATTCAATAATTCAATAACATAAATTCAAGTAATGGATATTAATACTATGTGCAAAACACGCTCACAACTTTTATATCTCTTTTTGCACCAGACAGAGCATGCGTTGTGAGAGGCTCCTGATGAAATAATAAAACCCAATTCTCATCTGGAAAAAAGAATCATTATGGGAGGATGGTAATTTACTTTATATGACCTTCAATTGATTATTCTGTGACTGCTACACAAATATCACAGGAGCTATTGATCGTAAAACCTACCAAATAGATCTCTAATAGCTTTTACTGGGCAAAAATAATTATGCTTGCACTGTGGTCAAACACACATAAACCAATGTGGAGGTATTAATGTATGGTATTATTACCCATCTGTCGGCGAGGTATGGAGGGAACCCTTCTCAGGAACACACTATGTCTAAGCCCCATGGAAGTTCAATATCCAAGCCAGCAATTATAGCCAGTTATTCTGAAAAAATTGATTACTGTAACTGAAAGCTAGAGCTGGGAAGCAGAGGCTGCAGCTGCTTAATAAAAGTAAAATAATAAGAGATATCCTAACTGAGTCCTGCTGCAGTGGCTTTGAGGATGCAGAAATTGAATTTCCTTGTGGTGTTGGCAGCAGAGGAACCTGTCAGAGTCAAGAGCTTCCTATCCAGCCTTGACCAAGATCAATGATCAACACCCATAAAAGGTCAGGATGTGCGATCAAAGAAGGGGTTATCTATCTCTCAAGGAAAAGTGTGTAATACAACCCCAAACTGCAATGCTGCTAGGCACTATGGGCAAGAAAGCCAAAACAGAGAGAAACTTCAGTTTCACTCTGGTGAACGGGAAGAATGTTCCACTCATACAAGGTGTGCAGCCAGATGTGTGCTATCAGTGCAGAGCACCTCAGCACGGCCCCCCGCAGATGAATGCAGGCCACGGACCTAACAGGTTCCCTCTGCGACCACATGCACATACACGGAGCTCTGAGAATGCCTGAGTCTTCAGCATGTCGCAGCAAGTCTGTGACTTACTCTCTACCCTCCAAGTTCAAATAATCAGACAAACAGGTGTTTCACTGGAAAACAAAAAAACCTACTCTCAAGACATTTAAGTGAGAATGATAAGCTTCTAGCAGCCAGAAAGAATAGACCAGAATATGAACAGGACTGAGATACACATGAGAGAGGGAGAGAGAAGGAGAGAGAGAGGGAGACACACACACACATACACACACACACACACACACACACAGAAAGAGAGAGAAAGAGAGAGAGAGAGAGAGAGAGAGAGAGAGAGAGAGAGAGAAAGGGAGGCTCATAGACACATTATGGAATCTGCATTTGCAAGAGTGGGGAGTAATAACTATCTTTTAGAACAGATCAGAATAATATTCCATGAATTCCACTCATGCATTCCATGAAATACAACAGAATTGAGATGTGCAGCTATTGGGTTGTGCCTTCCACGATGGGTAGAGTTTTCCTAAGTATTTATGCTCTGAGAGCACCTCAAAACAGTTCCATGAGAATACTGATCTCGGTATTAGTACATAACAAACAAACAAACAAACAAACAAATATCACTCCCAGGGAGGGGAGACTGACCTAGAAAAAAGAAACCGAGTGACAGGAGGACCTCAAGCTTCACCTCCTCTTTCTGCAGTGATGTGGCTCACTTCTAACTTGGTTTTTTCTCTTCTTTTCTGGCATTATCAGAGTCAGTTGTCAGAGGTAGCAGAAGTGAAGCTATGGTTTCTCTCTTTTATGATTTATAATTCAGGAGCATAACAGGGGCAGGGAGTTGAGGGTGATCCCTATGGCTGTGGCCACTTTTATTGTTAAAGAAATACAGACTTCTAAGAAACCTTGAAACCTCTTCAAGAAGACTTGTTTTCCAAGGCCTCTCACCAGTGTAACTCACCTCTGCTGGACACAGTCTTGGAACATGTTGGGGAAGGGTTTATTGGTCGCACTTCTGATTCTGCTTGTTATAAGCAGTTCTCAAATTACATGGTAGACTAGGTATTTTAGGATCCCTTAAGTCAAAGGGAGATACTGAGTCCCACTATAAAATCCATAACATGTGGACAGGGTTTATCTTAGCTTACACCCAGGCAATCAATAGCTCAGGAATGCCAAACTGCTGTTAGCCGCCTGTAAGCCCACAAAGTCAAGGTGTTGGCATTACAAATAATTTGCTTACTTGGAAAATAATCCCTGTCGTTTTGTGGTACTGTGGATCTATCTTTTCTTTCTTTTTCTTTCTTTCTTTCTTTCTTTCTTTCTTTCTTTCTTTCTTTCTTTGTCTTTCTTTCTTTCTTTTTTATTTGGTTTGCTTGTTTGTTTTAATTATTACCATCTGATTTTATGACCCTTTGGGGTCTAGGTCAGGTTTCCTATTGGGGTGGGATTTTTATCCTATGGAGATCTTTAATCTTGATGTTGTCATTTGGTCTCAGGGCAGTGCTTGGCTTGCGAACTCCATCCTGGATTAGTACCAGAAAGTGCCGCAGACCAGAGGCCACACGTTCCCTCCCTAACACATTCTCAGCCCGCTTCCCTTCCAAGGTAAGCGTAGGGATCCCTCACTTTTTACAAGCGAAACCTCCAGAGGAAGAGGGCTGCTCGGCCTTCAGATCCGCGAAAGGCCGGCCCCTTGCATACCAGGTCTGTTGGTTAAGGGGGGATCTGGTCTTCCAAATTCCAGCAGCCGCCACACCCTGTGCCATGCCAGCCGCTGGCTCAAGGCAAGCAGGATCCCTATCAGCAGCCTACCTGTCACGCAGTGGTCCCGGAGAACGCAGAGGCTCAGCAGCGCCTGGAGCACAGGAAGCGCGGGCGCCCTGCCCTGCAGGTGTGGTCCCACCTGGCGCCCACTGGCCGCAGCTGCCTGCGGTGCAGGTGGCGGGTGGCGGACGGGCGGTCTGCGGCTCGGGTGGGAGCCCCGGCGCCAGCTCTGCAAATATCCACGTAGCATCGCTGCTAGGTGCCCGTCTCCGGGAGCAAGATGCCTGCACAAAAGCATCGGGCATGGAACGCACAGATTTTGAACATTAGTTTCTATTTCATCTCTGTGGGAGAAAGGAACACGCACTATGGGAAAGTGGAGGGGAAGAGAGCCCCGCATAATTTCCGACGGATGTTTGACAAATCATTTCGCCCTCAGAACCCTGCATCAGCCCCCGTTTCCCAAGTTTAAAATTCTTGTCATTGTCAGTGTCAGTGACGCCTTTCCAAATCTGAGAAAGAATAGATCAGACCCACCGAGATACAACTTTTTTTTTTTTTAACTTTTCAAGCAGTATTAAAAGTACAGAAAATTGGCTTTAAAATTGTTGTTTTGAATATGGTCTATTTTGAAGGGAAAAAAAAATCCAGAATATGAAAATGTCTGAAAATAGAGTAGCTCAGTAGTTGCCTGAATTTGGAGGGGAGGGAGTGGGAGATGGTAGCTCATAGGTAGAGTGTTCTGATTTAGGATAAGAAAAATGACTTAATTTTGATTGTGGTTACAGTTGTACAGATTTGTCAACGTGTTAACATCACCTAAATCCTGCATTTTGAATTGGTAAATTGTACAGCATGCACATTTTTTAGTTTAGCCCAGTTGTTTTATTTACAAAAAGGAAATTGGTTTAAAAAGGGGGACTGTATTTTAAATATTCTAAGTAGAATAAAATGTACAACAATTGGCTATTGTATCTGATATAACTTTTCTTATATAGAATAAAATAAAATAGAAGGCCCTGTTGGAGCTATACATTTTGTACATTGCAGTGTGTAAAATTTTTCATAATTTTTGTGGCTTCTATATGTTTAAAAATCGTGAGCAATTTGAATATGCTTTGTTTGGCCTTGCAAAAAGAAGAGAGCATGTGGTTTTGGGCAATTCCCTTTAAGAACTGTCCTTTTGAAAACTCATTAGGCTGAGAGGAGGGATTGAGACAGACAGACAGACAGCAAGAAGTAGGTCATGAACCACCACAGAAACAGGGCTGGCGTGAGCTATTCTGTCACCTGTTTCTTTGGCAATTGAAGGACAGGCCCATTCACTGTGAGCATTTCTCCTGCTGAAGGTGATATATCTCATGTCAAGGAAAAAGCCCATCCTGCGTCTGTGGGATTCATTTGCCTCTGAGAGCAAAAAGTTTAGAGAAACAGTTGGCTGTTTTCGGATGAGGAAAACATTGCTTTAGTCTGTCTGCTTAGCCTTTAACATCCCCACCAACACCATGCAAGAACTGAAGCCTTGTTTCCCAGAGCATAAGCAAGCGTAGGCGTGTCCAAAGGTGCATGTTATCTTACTGTGGTAGAAACAGTGTATACATACATGTATTTTTCCCTCAAATATCATATTTTAATAATATACCAGCAAGTTTAGAAAGAAATCTAAGAATCCTATCAGGCTAATAGCATAGGCAAAAATGCACATTTCAATGAAATTCATGTATGTTTCAGTATTTATAAAAGAGGATGTTTGAATCATGTGGATTATTCATATGTCAGAAGCGTTTTTAGTATTATTTGAAGATAGCCATATTAATTGGTTTTAGTAGCAGTATAATATTTCATTCAGTGAACATGCAATTTACTTATTTCCATAGGGCTTGATGCTTACATTGTTTTTATATTTCAGTAAAAATAAACAATATATTAAAGGTTATCTTAAAATTTTTTTGAAATAATTTCATATGTTTTACACTGCAATAAATGAGCCATGGTTTCTGAAATATTTTTGGTAGTTTTTATAGTTTTCCAAGTACTTTTCAAAATAAAAAAAAATTGTATATTCTCTCTTGCCAATAAAAAAATATTGTAACCCACTTTTTAGATTTATTGGGGTAAAATTGATATATAAATAGTTATACACTCAAGGTATACAACATGATGTTTTGGCATATGCATACATTGCATAAAGAAATGTATACAATGTATACATTATATTTTAAAGTATACTCAGTGTTATTTGATATTATAATTAGTAAGATTATTTGTTAATGCAGCAAGCTGAAATGATTTTTTTGATATTCATTTTCTTTGGTAATTACTGAAGTTGCTCTTTGGGTTTCCTCTTAAAATTGATTTTTCTTCCTTTATTGGAATTTTCTTACACAGTTTTTGAAGTAACTCAGAAATCAACGTAAAAAATGCTAGCATTTCCACAAATCAATCTTTTGTAGTGTTAATTGTGAACTAAGGTGAGGATTCTGGTTAAAATGGTTACAATAAGCACAGTAAGTAATCCCTGGTAAAACTGGGTTAAGTGGCGTCTAGAAATGATTTTTTGAATTGAGGTTTACAGCAACCTTCTGGTTTCCCTCCATGGTGGCACATAAAATGATATTATCATCTAAGAAATTACCCCAGAAGCTTAAGGTATGTTATAGTAAACTGTATTGTCTTGTTAGTAAACTCAGAATCGTTGATCTTTGCACTAGCTTTCATTCTAGGCTGAAAATGTGTGTTATTTTCTTAAGCTGTGATGTGGTCATTTAAAAACGCCTTCCTCGGTTCTGGCACCAGCCACAAAAGCACCAGTGCCCAGTAAATAAAGTAGCAGCCCATGTCCCTTTTAGCAAAAGCTATATATCTGTTCAGACTTGTAATTTGCTCCGTTTATATCCTTTGCCCTTGAACTCTGGTTATTAACGCAATGTTTCTCCAAATGATGCCATATAACTCTGCTCTGAGCACATCCACGGTGACACCACGCAAACATTCTGAGGGCCAGGGCCAGCTGAGGAGGGGAAGAAATGATGGCTGAGCTGTGAGAGGTGCAATGCATTACTCAGAATGGACCTGCTGTAAAACTACCACTGTTAATATTCAAATTGCGACAGGCCAGAACCAGATAGGACTGCTAATATTCAGAGGTCTGCTTGGAAGGCAATTTAGCAAAATAGCTTTGATTAAAAAACAGCAACAGCCAGAAGACTTCTCCCAATGAACTTAAATAAATAAATAAATAAACCTTTCCAAGGATTTAAGGCAGATGTCCTAATCACACACCTTAAAATATTCTTTGTGGTGGATTTTAGAGGTAGCAGTAGACTTTGTTCCACTACACAATTGTACATGAAGTAGGCTCTAGATCCACGTCCTTTGTGAATCTGCAGTAGTATACAAGAATTTTTCTTGTAAATAGTTTACACCCTACGGCAGGTTTTCTTTAAGAATTGAATATTGACTGGGTTTAATACTACTTTCATTTTAAATATAAAAATTTGCTAATTAGTATCATCTGGAATTTTGGACAGGGAGTGGGACCAGTCTCCCTTTAGAATATCTGAGAAGAGCATGCACTGATTAACCAAATTAATAATTTAAGGAAGAGCGCAGAGGGTCTGTACAACCTACTTTGCAACGGAAATTGTTCTTCCACATTTTAGAGCAGGGCATTTATGAAAGAATTCCTTTTCTTTGAAATGAGAAAATGACACACTTGGAATACTGTGTCCAAGAAAGTCTTCGCATGTTAGAGTATTTCAAAAACTTTTATCTGATCCAAATTAATGCTTGCAAACTTTTTTCTCTGAAAGATTTTTATTTTAATTGATTCATGTTAAGTTTACATCGAAGTCTTTTTTTTCATTTTATCTTGAAGTTAATCATTCATGCCCATAGGATTTAATATATACCCCAAACATAAAATGCAGTTCACACAAAAATATTGGTGGGAATAAGAAAATAATGTACCATCAAATATTGAATTTTTATCCTGGGATGAAAAGTTACTGTGAAATCTCTATGCTTATGCCTATATTGTGAGTATTTTGTGTGTTTAGAAAGTAGTAAAAATAAGAAATACTTCTAACTTCTCCAATTGACTTTATTATTTTTTATTACATATACAAATACATGCATGAGTTTTGCCAATAAAAAATGGGTAAGTTGTATGTGCCCAAGATTAGCAAGCACTTTTACCTCCAGAGGTTAGCTGTTCTCAGTTGAGTACTATTTCTATAGAGAAATGGATTCTAGATTCCAGGTAAGCTTTAAGGAACACTTGAGAAAGAATTATTTTCATGTATGTAGATCTTCCTATATGCTTTTTCTATTGTCTTTCTAATGAACTGTTCCTAAATTAAAAGAGGTTTTCTACACTTAGTGCCATAGATCTTGTGACCTAAATGATGTTGACGATTGGTGAAAAGAGATTAGAAGTTATGGAAATTTTAAAAGGTTTCTGTGAAGCCGAGGCTTTCATTGTGATTGGATGATCAGACTTAAAAGATAGACACCTTGACTGTATCCTTCACCTCTGATTGTCAGTTGTTAAACACCTGATGAAAATCCCCCTCATCTATTTATTGAATTAAATGCATAAATTTATGTGAGTGAATTGGTCTACATTTGTTTAAAATCTAATGTAATTATGAGCTTTATAATATTAAGTGATTTTCATTCATGTAGCTATTATAATTTCTTAGTCTTAAAAATAAAAAAATTTCCTTTTATGTATATTTCAATCACTCTGTGCTGGTAACATTGTTTGATGAATTTAACTTCTATGTTCTCTTTCATTGTCATAGCTAAATAATTACTAAAACTATAGGAGATTTTAGATGTATATTTGTACACTATTAAGGAGATTTATAGTGTTTATTAGAAAGCATATATTTAATTCTTAACAGATTGAGAGCATCAATTATTAAATATTCTGAATGACTTGAAATTTCCTTATTCTCTACAGATTAAATCTTGGATAGTCTGTCTTGGTCTCCAAATTAAATATATTATATACACTTCAGGTTGTAAGTAGTATAATTTTACCAAACATAGTTCTAAACATTTAGTTGTGAAATATGAAGCATATACATCCCTGATTGTACCCCTCACCCATTTCCTCTTTTCTGAAGTCAAATACTTTCTATCTTTATCTTGTATGCTTTCAGATTTCATTTTATCCTTTAATATACTATTACTTTTTTCT